CCTTACCATCTTCTCAGGCCAAGATACGGCGTGGTGTATAGTGATATAGACTAAAATCACCAAATTAGATGAAAAAATGTTATTAGTATTTGGGTAGAAAAAAACCTCGATCACTAACCCTAGATTACAAGTCCCAAGCAGACTTTGGGGAAAAATCCATGTTCTCAGACCTAATAGGCAAAGAGCGAGAATCAAACATTTATTTCCGAAATTCCTTCACTTTCGTTATTCTCGTCGAGAAATCGTTGTTTGTTTTCCCTTATTAGTTGATGGCGGCGGCGATTACAGAAGAGCAGAGCAGAAAGCGGGTGAAGCATTCGCAGTCGATTGATAGAATCAGCGATTTGCCGGACTCAGTCATTTGTCACATCCTCTCTTTTCTCCGGACCAAATTCTCCGTAAGAACCAGTATTCTATGTAGAAGATGGATGCATCTCTGGGCTTACGTCCCCAATTTACTTTTCCACACCGAGAATCAAGAAATCATCAACCATCAATAGATTCGGCCTCTTTCATATTCAATGCAGCGACTATCAACTGCAGACATGGGTTACCTTTGCCGTTGTACGTAACGTGCAGAAGCTCTATCTTTGTTTTCTTTCTAAAGAAGATGTTCGAGGCTTTCTGCCTCGATGCCTCTTCACCTGCAAAACACTTGTTGCTATGAGGCTCCGCTCTTGCGGTGTTATCCCCGTACGCCGCGCCGCTGTGTGTTTGCCTCTCCTCAAGAAGCTTCATCTAATTTACGTTCGTTTCGAGGCTGATGAGTCCCTTACGCACCTTATTTCCGGCTGTCCGGTGCTTCGGGAGTTGTCTATCAAATTATCACATGCTATGGCTTATTGTAATGTATCTTCACCTACAATTAAAAGGCTCATGCTCGATTTTAAATCCGATGGCACCAGGTTGGAGATAAATACCCCTGCAGTTAAATATCTCAAGATAAGTGATTCTTTCTCTGAGCATATTAAATGTGGGGTGCTAAACTCCTTAACTAAAGCAGATATCAATCTTATCAATGACGAGAACAAACCGGACTATTTTCTTTATTCTCGATCTCTGCTAGAACTCATTGATCGGTTTCGCAATGTCAAGTGCCTAAAATTAGTTTTATCGTATTGTCCAAAGGTATGTTTTCGATCTTTAATCACCTCATTCTCCATTTCTTTTGTCAATCACAATCTTATACTTTTTGTTTTACAGATTATTGACTCGGTAGTCTATGCTTGGACTACAAGTTTTCCTAAGTTAACCAGACTCCAATTGACTGCCGATATTCGTTTTATTTCAATGTTCCTAAAAAATACTGAAAATCTTGAATTCCTCGTTTTATCTGAGGTTTGTTAATGCAATATAAAAATTTTGTAGGTTTCCTCGTTCATGTCTTCTATACCGTCTTAAAATATTTAAAGCCTCGTTTTTTTTTTTTGGTTGTTGGTGTCAACAGTTTTGCGAAGAAATACAAGGTTGGATGGAACCACTACAAAAAGTGCCGACATGCCTATTATCACATCTTAAAATTATAAATGTTGTTAACATCAAAGGTAAAAAGCACGAGCTTGAAATTATAAAATATCTATTGAGGAATGCGAAAGTCTTGGAGAGGATGGAAATATCATATCCCGGATCCCTTGGTTCCAACGAAGAAAATAATATGCTAAAGAAGATCTCACTTTTTCAACGCGGATCCGGAGCATGTAAAGTTGCCTTTGTTGCTGCCTGAATGCGCTTGTAAAGTAACTTGACGCCTATATCTACCAACCACTTTTGCTTCGTAATTGCTTTACGCACTTATCTCTGTTTTATTATGACATCTTTACTTCAGTTTTTTGTAACTGCAATGTGATGAAACAAATATTTATTTTTCTAATTGCGGAAAGAAAGGTGAGTATGTTTTTGTCAAGAAGAGCTCCTGTACTACTAGTTACATTGTTATTTCAAATGCATCCACTTAAGGCACAAGGCTTCATTTCTTTGTTGAAGTATTAATTTTGATTGCATTTCCTCGAATACATGTATAGTTATATATACGTGCAAAGGGAAATTTATTATGGAAATTGACATGAAATTGAGTTCAGATAGCTGTTGTGTTACTTAGTTGTCCAAGAATTTATTGTCATCTTCATATTACTATTTTCTTTTATCTATGAAACAAATTTAAGGAAAGATATTTCACAAATTATTTTCCTCACTGGTTTCATAGGAAGCAAACATAAGAGAGATTTTGAATATTCGTTTTCTTGAATTATGGGTGTGACTTCTTTTTATAAAGCATTTCAATTATTTCGTTATTACCATCTTCGATTTATTTGAGTTCTTTTGATATCATCATTATGCGATAACGTTACTATAATTTTGTTGTTTGTAAATTAAAGTAACTTCGCCCATACAGTCACAAGGCTCGATGTATCCATCTCGAGTAAATACCCCAACACTTGGATATCGATATTTTAAGTGACGATGAACAAGACATTTTTTATTTATTCCCGATCGGTGCTGGAATTTATTGGTAGACTTTGCAACGTCAAGTTCCTAAAACTAGATTTGTCAGATTGCACACAGGTATGCATTCCATATTTCATGAGCTCGTTTTCCATTTCTTCAATGATGTAAATTAATCAATCTCGAATTGATTGTTGATTGTCGTTTTCTCTCAAAGTTTCTTGAAACAGCTGATAATCTTGAAATCTTATGTAGTGGTCGTTATAATATTAAGTATAAAAACTTCATCTTTTCTATTTCCGATATTTAAAATTGAATCGAGGTTTAATTATTTTAGTGACCTAACGCGAGTATACTTGATATCCGTTGATCTTGTAGCTCAATTTATTGATTGGACGACATCTGAGCTCAATGGCAAAAAAATAATTCCATTTGTTGCTAGGCTTTGCAATGTCGAGTGCCTAGAGTTAGGTTTGTCAAATTGTAACGAGGTATGTATTCTATCTTTCCTCGGCATTGTAAGTTTTAGTAACTTGATCAAACTCAAAATCTTGAAGTCCTTATTTTATGGTGTATACAGTTCTTTACGCAAATGGAACAATTACCGCCTAATCATCAATAAGAAGAGAGAGAGAGAGAGAGAGAGAGAGAGAGAGAGAGAGAGAGAGAGAGAGAGAGAGAGAGAGAGAGAGAGAGAGAGAGAGAGAGAGAGAGAGAGAGAGAGCTTTCTAATTTAAATTCGTGGTAGACATTTCTTAATTTCTTGATGCGAATTGGTACTTTGCACCAAATAATTACATGCACCATCGAATTATATGTCATTGGTACTGATACGCACCAAATTGTCCTCTTTGTTGATTCTATGGAAAGAGTTATAAGCTTGCTTTGTTATTTAATAACTTTTAGAAATATATTATGTATCTTTGATTTATTCGATCGACATGCAAACGTATAAGCACCTCCT